ACGGCGTTTCGTGGCCCCATAGGCAGCTTTTCCGACGGCCCCGGTGGCTGTGACCGCATGCGCCCCGCGCCACCCTATACGGCGCTTCGTGGCCTCAATGGGAGTTCCACCGAAGGTCCTAGTGGCTTCGTCCACATGCGTCCTGCGCCACCCATTGCGACGTTTCGTGGCCTCACAAGGAGCTCCAGCGAAGGCCCCAGTGCCTGTGACCACATGCGTCCCGCGACACCCAGTGCCAGTGCGGCCTTTCGTGGCTCCATAGCGAACTGCACCGAAGGCCCCAGTGGCTGTGACACAGTGCGTACCGCGTCACCCACTACGGCGTTCCGCGGTCCCATAGGGAGCTCCAGCGAAGGCTCCAGTGCCTGTGACCACATGCGTCCCGCGACACCCAGTGCGGCCTTTCGTGGCCCGATAGGGAGCTCAGCTCCAGCGAAGGCCCCAGTGCCTGTGACCACATGCGTCACGCGCCACCCACTACGGCGTTTCGTGGCCCCATACGAAGGTCCACCGAATGCCCCAGTGGCTGTGACCACATGCATCCGGCGCCACCCAATACTGCGTTCCGCGGCCCCATGGGGAGCTCCACCCGAGGCCGTAGTGGCTGTGACCTCACGCTTCCCGCGCCACCCAGTACGGCGCTTTGTGGCTGGCCCCATAGGGAGCTTCACCGAAGGCCCCAATTGCTGTAACCACATGCGTTTGCGCCGCCCAATACAGCGTGTCGTGACCCCATGCAGACCGCCACCGAGGCCCCAGTGGCTGTGACCACATGCGTCTCCCCCGTCCATGTCGGCACACCTCTCACGCGCTTCGTGGCTCCATAAGGAGCTCCACCGACGGCCCCAGTGGCGACGTTCGCGTGCGTCCCCCGCCGATTTCGGCGTACCCCTCACGCGTTTCGTGGCCCCATACGGAGCTCCACCGAAGGCCTCAGTGACGACGTTCGCATGGCGGCCCCGCTCCATTTCGGTACACCCCTCACACGTTTCGTGGCTCCAGATGGAGCTCCAGCGAAGGCTCCAACGGCTGTGCCCGCATGCGTCCCCGCCCCATTTCGGCACACCCTTTGCATGCTTCGCGGTCCCATACGGAGATCCACCGAAGGCGATACCCACAACGGCGGTATTCACAACTGCATATGGTTGGGCCCATTGCCAGGATAATTTTCTCTTAGGCTTCTCCAGGTATTTCGCCCATCAGCGCTTCGCTGGATGCCTCTGGGGGGTTTGGAGACGTCTCAGGGCATCTAGGGGAGATCTTTGAGCCTTTGGGGGTTAGTTGGGCCGATTTTGGATGCTCTTCGCGCGTCTTCACCTCGCTTCTGCGGAGTCATTTGCAGTCTTAGGGTCGTCAAAAATCCGATTAGGGCGGCGGGGAGCAAGTCCAAGTTGTTTTTTGTCATGTTTTTTTCGTGGGGGGTCGGGGTGGCCGCCACCCGGTGGCGGGGCGACCCTGCAGTATTACAGATAGCCCGCCAGACACAAGACACACATTTCAACAAACCCCGACTTGCTGAATCCACAGTATCGGACTGTGGCCACACGCGAATCTATCGAACGAAAGTGCATCTTTCGTGAGTCACAGAAGGCGCTGTAGCTCAGTGTCTTTGGGTGGAGACTCTGAGGCTGAATGCGTTTTCGCTACCTCTCCCAGTCACGACCACGATGCAGACTGGCTTTCTCATTGCAGTGAACACGAGAAGGCGGACATTGTGCACGACGAGTGCTTGCTACCACCATCGGCATCACCCAGTCAAGCTCATACTGTGTGTGCGTCGCGCCCCCCCCCCCGTCCCCCTCCAGGGGCGACGCGCGCGCTCGGACATCTCACAGTCTGTGCTCGGTTTCGGGCGCTTTTTGGCCATATTGCCTGGGTACAGTCGGGGCGCTGAAGAAGGAACCTTTTTCGCTGGGGAGGGGCTCGGTGTTCCTTGATTGTTTCAAAGTTTGCCTTGGGTTTTCCTGAGGTTTTCCATAGGAGATCGAGGTTGAACTTATGGGAAAAAAGGGGCCTCGTTCCTTATTTGGGTTCCTTAGGTCAACGCCTCGACTGTAATTTCGGTATGCCATCACGCGTTTTTGCTGGACGTTCTGTTCGGAGGTGTGTGCCCAATGGTGGCGTAAAGTGCTAATATGCCCTTCGGCGTCCTACCATACTCTTGCTGACCACCCCGACTAGCACAACCCCACTTCTTCAAACGTGCGCGATTGCGTGTGCGTGCATGCGCGAGGGTGCCTGCATCTGCCTGCATAGTACGCGTGTGCATTCGCGTGCACGCATGGTCGAGACACATACGGTTGGGAACTTTTGCTTAGCGTGTCGCCCCTTCGGTTCTAGCCCATCGCGCCTCGGCGCGACTCGCTAATCACGTCCCAGTCTCCAAGCGTCAACGTCCCAAGCCTTTCCCGGCCTCCCGCCCCGCGGAGTGGAACGAAACGTTATCCGTTTGTTGGGCATCGCGTGTCGCCGGGGCCGCCGCCGCGACGCGCTAAGCAATAGTTCCAGATCGTACCAAATGGCGGCTGTGACTCGCCAGCTGTGGCTGCTCTTCTCGTACCAATAGCGTGGGTCAACTAGGGTGGCTCTCGCATCCTCCCATCGTTCAGCA